TGTACAAAAATGACATGCAGAGAAATTAAGGGGAGTAATTACACTGTAGGAGCATGCAGGTGGATGCTGGAGTGGTGGTGGGGTTAAACCATCAGACGGAGATGCAGAACAGGCTAATGATCACTTATAATCGCTGTCTATTCTAAACACGTGTATGGAAAGAATATTATATAGTTATGTAATTAAATATTTTAGACATCTGAGTTTTTAAAATTCATAATCGCTTACAGCAAAAAAAAAGAAAAGAAAATCTCACATGAAGAGTGCTAAGCTACATTTTCACCAGAAATAAATCAGCCGAGCAGCTGAAGTTATAACATTTACCTGGATTGTGTTTTTTTAATATCTTTAATTCGACTCTTAACCTTTTCACGTTGTTTTTATCTGCTTAAATACTGACTAACTGTAACAGTAAGATAATTACAGGCAGGACTAGCTTAACAGTTGTAGGATATGTCTAAAAACATCTTAAACACCCCTCCATGGTTAGGCTCACAGGAAGCAGAGGTCTTTAGTTTGTTATTCATGATACTAGGCCAGTTTTGACCACACTAATAACAGATCCAAAAGTGTGAAACAACAGTAAAGTTGAGGGCCAGAACTGAACAGAACTGTGAACTGAAATTCACTCTAAAGCCAAATGAATCTTCAGTTTCAGAGATTAGAATAACTGAAATATCAGTTAACCAGGAAATGAGTAAATATGGCTCGATGACACACCTCAGGCTCTGTTTGCACTCAAATGTTTAGAAGTGTTTTTCTGCTTTGTGCTGCTTTTCTTACCAGCTTGATCCCTTGTACAAACGGCTCTGAGTTGGAAGTCTCTGCGCTGGCTGAGGGCGGCGTCGGGGGGGCACTGCTGCGTATCCCCACTGTTGCTAGGACACAGATGATGCATGTCGGTATTGCATAGGCTAGAAGCTGGAAGAGGAGAGAAACACACATAACGTAAAGAATAATGGGTGATTGCACCTTATCTGACACAATTTATCATCATTAGAAGGTGAGGAGATCAGAGGCAGAGTGCAGGGTGAGAAGGTGCAGTCACACAGTTCTCTGTAGCAATCACCTAAATCCAAAACAAGAGCTTTTTAAAGGTTTTAATAATTTCGCCCATACCAGACAGTTACCAGTCAAGAAGGGTTAGCGAAAGAAAAGGAAAAACAAATATTGTGATGATAAATGGGTGACTGCAGCTTAAATCAAACACCATTTATCATCGTTAGCAGCCGAGGTGACCAGAGCCATATTTCAGTTTTATGTACACTGACAAGCCACAACATTAAAAGCAGTGACAGGTGAAATGAATAACATTAATCATTTTCTATTAATACAATTTTATGCTTGGGACACAAACTGTATATAAACGATGGACATTTCGCATTTTTGATGACTCGAGCTGAGCGTTTTAGCCGTTGCCATCCAAGTTTTGATCTGAGAAACTGAAGAGTGGTTTACGCTTCTATGGTAACGATTCATGAATCACAACAATAAAGCTACCCCGTTTAATGCCTGCTTTGACTTAAATTTACAGAAGGAGCAGCCGTGTGTAACTACAAACTATAATAACCTATAAAATAACCTGGCTAGACTAGAGGACATGCCCCCTGCTGGCTATAGTGCATAATCCACGCTCTGGTTGCCTAATGTAACTGCCACCTGCTTATATATATCAGTAGTCACTTCAATTTGCTCGCCTCAAAGCTGAGAAAAATGTAAATCAGGACCCGCCCACTCGCCGGCAGTTATGTTAATCATCGTCATTTGAAGTTGCCATCATTGACTTTCTGTTGTCTGAGTGGATGTTAGGAGCTTCCATCATCTTTAATATACAGTGTAGATCTGGATAAAAAAAAAATAAAAAAATAGCACTCCCCGAGGACAGGAGTCTCTCGGTGTAATGCACTTAACACAGCATTGTCTTGTCCTGTAGGATCTGGGCCTGATGCACAAACATTATGGCAGGCGAAACATTGTGCTGTTGGTTTGAATGTTGTGGCTAATCAGTGTATTGGAGCACTTGTCCTGTAATATTCTGGGGATCTGTCACAACCACCAATGTCCTTCACACTCACAAATCTTTATGAACCAGCCAAACCCAGTTGTCCGATTACTGGTGTTCTCATTTATTATAAGCATCACAGACTACTCTGCTTTCTGAACACCAAAGGTTTCTTTGTTAAACTCACCAGCTTTGGGATCTGTGCAGATGTTTCAGCCATCACAGGAGAGATGATGTTAGCGAGGAGGATTCCCAGGGGATTAGCTGAGGACAAAAAAAGAGAAGTGGAGTTTTACTGCTGTCCTAGATCACTTTCTGTTCCCAGTTTCATTCACAACACAACATCTGAGCAACATATCTGACCTTTAATCACCCTTTAACATCAGCTTCCCATTTTAATGTCTTTAACAGGCATACATATCAATAGACCTTGTTAGCAGTCATTTTAATAATGTAACAGCTGCGTCCACACAGGAGTTTGCTGACATGCTAAAATGAAAGCGCTTTGTAAGCAAACCTTCAGGGAGCATAAGCACAACGCAAAAAATAAGAATGACCATGATGATCAAACCAGCCTTTATTTAACTACAGTAGTTTTACCCATTAAAACTCCAAAAGGATTAAGAAACATGACAACTTTTGGTTAAAGCCACAGCTCTCAAGTCTCCCTGTCCTTAATTGTGCATTTTCTATTTATCGCATGTTAAAATTTAAAAATAAATAAATAAATAAATAAAATAAAAAAATGGTGGTGGTGGTGGCTAGAATGTTACGTAGCCTTGTTCTCAAGTTCATGCATTCACAAGAGTTATGTTGAGTTATCGCAGTTACAAATTTGGGTGTCCTGCCCGCATCACAACATTACCCCATCGGCCGTTTACAGGTGAGGGGTAAAAGCCCACCATCAGCAGCCCTCACATTTCTAAAACTGCCCAGTTAGCAGGTGGCCAACAAAGAAAAAATTAGCTCTGTTGTTCCTGCTGTCAAGAAATTCCATGAAAGCTGGAAAAAATATTCCCTCAGGAATAAATCATGTGAAAAGTAAAAGTGTTAATGATGAAAAACTATCACCCAACAAGTTAGAACAGGTCCTAGAACTTTCTATGAGGAAATCTAGACTTTTTTCTGTCTATATGCTGTGCTGTAACATAAAGCAATCCATTTAAATGCTGTATGAAGGTTTCATTTATATGTATTTACCACTAGAGCAAATGCATTTATCTCATTACAGAAAACACACGAGGGTTGAGGTTGTTTAGTTTTTCTTTGTGAACATTAGAGCCCAGACTGAGATGTCCACAGCCCGGTTCTGGCCCTCGGGCCATAGTTTGCCCAAATGTTACACAAGAACACTAGAACCACCACAATCAGGAGCCACAACTCAGTGCCCACAGACTCCAGTGTTAAAGATCTGACCTTCATAGATAACTTCCAGCTTCATAACAGCTGTAGCCAGGGTTTGGTTCAAAAGGGCTCAAAGTTTGGTGTTTGGCTGCTTTAAATGATGTTTTTTTGGTAGTTATTTTAAGCATCCAAGAAGATTAGATTAGATTGTTACTCAGCATTTTTAACAGGTATTTATCAGTTCGATGCAGTCATTCAATTTATGCCGATCCATCATCAAAACTGGTCATTTTTATTCCAGAAAACCAACATGGAGAGAAACATAAAAATAAAGTGGTTTCTAATTAAACCTCCATCTTTGTACAGACTATTATCCTTTATATTTCTATACCTTATATCTCTGTCTGTTTCCTTTTCACTGGCTTTATTTACACTCTAGAATTTCAAACTAACTTTGGAAAAAAGTCTACATTTATTTATCAAATTCAAAAATATTTGAATTTTTTTTTTTTTTTTTGTGAATTTGCCTGAAAGTATAAACTTAAAAATGCTTCAAACGCCAAATTCTGTGAACTCCTTAATTAAAACTGCCATAACAGATTTTTTTTTTGGCATAAAAATAAAATAAAAAGAGTATTGCTCCTTTGTTGTTTGACATGCACATGACTAACACACAGCAGAACATCTGCACAGGTTTGTAGATGCTGTACTGAAGGTGTGAAAGGTAAAATCGCTCACCCATCGAGGCGATCATGTTAGCTGTGGCCCGCTGATGGTCGGGGAACCACAGGGCTGCCAGCTTGGTGGGAGCGAAAACGATGAGGGGCTGAGCCAAGGCGCCGAGGGTCTGTCCCAACATCACTATCGGGTACTGGATTTTAAAACTCTCACCCGGAAGCGTGCCGAGGAACCGCAGCACGGCTCCGAGCATGTTCAGCCAGGCACCCAGGATCAGCTGTGACAGTCAGAGGACAGAAGGGTGAAAGTTTAGGAGAAAATCCCTTCATATCTGGGAGTGAGACAACTGTCAGACAGTTTCAGAAGGTCTTCTCAAAGATCAGTCCAAGACAGTGGGAGGTCTTCATCTTTAAAAAGGTGCAATTAATCTCAGATTCACGAAGTAAAACTAGCTTGCATGGTGTGGTCAGAAGCAGGTGGGACAGGATGTCATGTGGGTGAAGTGACAAATATAAATGGTAGGGGTTTGCATGCCTTCTGGGCTAAAAACAGCAGTCCACAACATTTTCAATTACTCATAGTTTTATTAATCATGCCACTATAACTAACCGGTGTCAGAGTCATTGCACTCACTGGCGCTCAGTCGCAGGTCACCTACTCTGTATTATGTGTCACTAGATTCAGAGAAAAAGAATAAATTCCTTCATGAACACCTCATCTCCAAAGTTTCCTGCAGTTTCTGCATAATCTCGTTATCAGACATGCTAACAAACATTACCGCTGCCAATGGCCCGCGTGCTTATTGGAGGTAGCGATCCATTTTTCCTAACTCAGAGGTCATCCGACCCCTCTCCCTCTCCTATGGCTGGTTGAACTGGTTATTGGGAAGCTGAATCCGGTCTGACTGCTGCGTTTATCAGTTCACTTCATCTTCTGTTTACTTTAAACAAATCAAATTTGCAGGACAATTTCCTGTACAGCATTTTTCCTGGGAGATGACTCCAGGATGAAAGGAGCATATAATGGCCATATCTCAGGCTTCATTCATTTTTAACTTGTACCCATTTCCATCAAGCCTATGTTTATATGCACGCATAAAGCACTAGCTCTAAACCATTAAAATCCTCCCCTGGACGGTTTCTTCTCTCTTCTAAAATCATTCACTACTCACTTAAAACTTTGTGTTCCAGAGTTTAGAATAAACCTCACACTGTGCTCTGAGGTTTACCATCTCATACTAAAACATATAATATTAACAAAAAAAACCAAGCAGTTGGTACCGTTATCCTCAGTCCAAGAGTATCCAGCATCCAAGTGGTTGCAAAGCTGAGCGGTATGGCCACCACCATGTAGACCAGTGATAGCCAGTTGATCTCGTCCAGAGTAACTTTCAGGTACTGGGCAGACTGGTTCGCCACTGGTGCAAAGGTAAGCCATATCTGAGGAGACACCAAGATTTTTTTTTATTTTTTATTTTTTAAGTATGGAAAGCTACATATATATAAGTGAGAGTGCAGGAGGTCCAATGAATTACTTTTATGCAGATTATCACTCATTCAGATGTTGTACAAAATATTAAAAGGACAAAAAAAATGCACAATAATGGCTGACGTTTATACAAAGTGTACAAACTAAATGTGGCAGGGCAACATTTCAGGGAAATCAAATAATAATTTTATTTTTTTATATGAGGACAGCAATACAAAATCACTTAAATAAAAGAAGTGCATAAAAATACATATATACTTAAAGAAATTAAGGAGTAAATATAACTGATAATACATTAGACCTGATAGATCTGGCTGTATTCCTGATATAAATATGATCAGTGCATTTCTATATATTGATATATGATAAGTATGGCATATGAGACCAGGCTGCGTGTTTAGATCCACCGTAGAAAAACCACAGCAGACGGGGAAAAGCCTGAACGACCTTTTGTAAATCTGCATTGTGTAAAGGTTTGCAGTGACTCCAGCCAGCAATTTAAAATGTCAGCTCTGTCAAAAAAGGTAAAACCGAAGGTTTACTTCAGCAGCGTGCCAACATGGATATTTCAGAAGATGCTTTCCATTCAGTGCTGTCAGCTTAGTTTTGTGCAGGTGGACAATAATTACACTAAAGTGCTTTATCACAGTGCCAGTCAGGTACAAATCATTTAGGTGGATATTTAACAACCACTCATCGATTACATGACATATACAAAGCATCCCTCTTTCAGTACATCATCTTAGTGGTCACTCCTCCTAAAGCAGGTGCACTTTAGTGATCAGATTCCTGGAGCCTGTTTTAGTCTTGTGATCTGGACACAACTTTAGAAAAAGAAAGGAAGTGACAAGACATGCTCATCTCACATGAGAAGGAGATGATTTCTGTTGTTTATGTTCCTAGTGTCATGTGTCTGCCCTCACATGACACCACTTAGCATGCATGAGACAGGAAATAATAGGACACTTTCATCATACTCTACAAGCTGGACAAAGCTACAATGCTGTGCTGAGCTGGTGAAAAGACATGTTCAACAAAAAGACTTCAGCCTTTAGAAAATTCTCTCATATTTCACCTTGATTGTGGATGAATAAGAGTGAGTTTATCAATAGAGACCTACAACATTTATTCAAGAACAATGTTGAAGCACTTACATTTGTGGTGAGAAGGTTATATATGCACCCATCATGGGCATGCATGTCATGTTCATTTTGGGCTGTGATTTCTCTGAACTGTTCTTTTTCCAGGATGAAATGATTCTACAGCATAAATATTTGATGGCTTTAAAATATTATGAACTTGGTGCACAAGTTTGAATTTATTTTGGATTTTCTCTAATCTACACAGGCTCACATATACACTTATACTCACTCAAATCTTTTAATAAGTGGTGCTGAAGGTTTTACAATTTCGTTTAACTTGAACTTAACAATTGACTTCAACTGGTAGTTTCTATTTTCTCTACTTTTTTGACAACACTTATGGGATTGACCAACACTCAGAACAATGGGAAAGTCCAAGGAACTGAGTGAAGACCTGAGGTTTGTAACTTCTAGTTGAATGCAAAGTAGGTAAATTATATTAGTCTTTGCAGTTTTGCTGTCGATCAAAAGTGGAGACATGAGTGGGAAAATCCTCATGGATGAAAAATACTTCAAAAAAAAGAGCTGCGGTTGTGTAAGCCGGTTATAAGCTACGACTAAAACCACATGCTGTGCTGACAAAAAGGAAACAACAGCTGCTCTCCTGCTAGATAGTAAACCAATGTAATAAATGTAATAAATAAACTCATTGTAAATGTAGGAGCTGTATGTATTCACATAATAATGACATCTTTGATTATTTAAAATTGCTGCTGCGATTGCATTTCTCTGCTAATAAACTCCTCCAGACTTTTTTTTAAAAGTAGGGCTTTACTGTGAAAAGTCTTGAATGTGAATTTATCTGCAGAAGAAGAAGAAGAAGCTGAAACTTTAATGTGCACACGTACTAAGCAGTAGGAGCTACCCACACTCCCGCTGAGATTTTGCCAGACTTGTGCGTCAGACTATACCGTGTTACATGACAAGAATTGTACCTGATAAACATCACCATGTTGTCACTGTAACTGATGATTTTCGTGCAACTAAAAAGTGCACTAAAAATAGCTGAAATATCTCGAATCTAACCTGAATTTGTAGAAAGAAGTCCTATTTTCATGACAAACATATAAAATACTTAATAATTGTAGCTTCTCAGGACAAACCAGGACATGTTTATACTTCTATTGCTTAAAAGGTTTAAATTATCCGTGTGTGTAACGGAATGAATCCAATGTCACGCTTATTTAAACATGTTTAAAAAGGAACGTATCCATGATTTTTTTTTTTTTTTTTTACTACACATATAACCTATAATTCACCTGGAAACAGGCAGCACATGTGTATGTGTGTATTTTTGGCCTGATGCACAAACAAACTGAATGAATTTGACCTGTAAACTACACCGAGACCACAAAGGCAGTACCAGTCCTGTCCTCTATTGTGTGGACGGTGAACAAATCCTAATTCATGCCGAGCTGGCGGGAGCTGGTCAGCTGATTTGAACACACAATGCTAGTCTTGTCCCCAGCAGGGAGGAATGCTTCTAGAAACGGTTTTCACACATGCCCCTGTTTTGTTATTTCACAGGTCGTATCAGATCAGAGTATCGCTTCCTCTCAATCCCACACGCGTCCATGTTTCAAACTGTGCTAAAATTAGATTTCATGCAGACTCAGACACCTAAAAAGCATCAAGGCGTGCACAATAACTGTAGGCAACATTAGGGGTGGGGGAAAAAAAATCGATACTGTGTAGTATCGTGATATTTTGTTTGCTAATAATGTATCAACACAGGGACAGCAGAAATCGATATTTTGTTACAAAAAAGTTTTTGTGCTCTGACTTCAGAGCATGTTGATCCTTTTTCTCAGCAAGAATCCTGACACTGTCCAAATGTGTTTAACTTTTTTTTTTGGCAGCAATAAACATGACAGTTTACTTATTTTAATTTAAGACATGTTTTATTTTAATTAAGTTTAAAACTTTTTTTATTTTATGTAAAATTATATTTTGTTTTAATTGACTTTCAAATTCTTCAGTTGCTGAAGGGGCTGCATAGTTTTCATAAATTGCATAGTTCAGAATAGCTATAATTGTACCAGATGGTTGCATTCAGTTAAGTTGGACTAGACTGTAATACAAACCGTTCAGTTTGTCAACAATAAAACTGACTGAAATGAGAGAAAGTCTGAGTGCAGACTTTGATATTAGATAAAATGAATATTGATAACGTTTACCTTTATGTACAGAATCTGAATATCGCAAAATATTTTTAAAAATTGCAATAATATCGTATCGTGCGTTAAGTATTGTGATAATATCGTATCGTGGGGTGTATGGTGATTCCTACCTCTAGGCAACATGCGATGCTAACACGCTAAAAATGAAAAATCCTAAATTATCTGCAGAGATTACAGTTAATGCAATCTTGTCACAAGTGAAACTTTAATTTCAATATTTAAAATGTTTTAATTTAAATATGTTAACAAATTTTTTATCTGCAATTTGTAAAAACTGTTAGATGATAAAATAAAATTGCTTAAATTTGTGATTATTCATGACTTGGGATTATGTTTTTCCATGTTTGTAGCACCTTTTAAGGTCTGTTAGAATAAACTAACAAACAGAAATAAACTGCATTAGAAGAACTGGTTTATGACCTTCTGTTTTCTAAGTATTATTATTAATATAATTTGAACTTTAACTTAAGAGGGACTTACTTTGCAGGCCCAGCACGTTGATATTTGATTGATCATTCTAGTAAGCTCTTAAGCAACAAAACTCTATTCTTTGTCATGACACCGTGGGCAGAAATGTTCACCTGTTAACTCTGTAAAGCCTCCAACAGCAGCTCCGTCAGGCTTACAGATCACTTCTCTTTCAGTACCTGCTTTAGAGAAGCCACAGCTTATGTGCACACTTTATGAATGACTGCAGGAAGACAACAACCGCTAACAGCTTTCACTTTTCTGTCACTGTGGAAACTTCGCTGACACGCTGAGTAAAAACTCACTTCCCACAATAAACCCACTAAGGTAGTCTGAGTCACAGCTGTTGTTATGTCGTGGAATAAAACACCAGACAAGGTTGTAAAATTAATTCTTAATGCAATTACAGATTTTCCATCTTCCCTACTTTAAAAACAAACTGTGATATCGCACCCTGCACCTTGACTCACAGGCTCCTTCTCTAGTTTGTTGCTGTTCTTTTCTTTATTATTTGTCTTATTAGGGACAATAATTAATTAATAAAGTTAAGAAAATGAAATAAATAATGTTAGGGAATATTAGGATTCCTAGTTTCATTTTATCAGATTTTCTATAGATACCACATCATATCATCAATTCTCATCTCCACTGTCATCATATAGGGAAAACATGATATAATGAAAATAGAAACATGGGAGCAAACATTTTTCTAACACATATAAATGCACTGGTCAGGGTCTGTAACATAAGTTTCAGGTGTACACTCTGCACAGATATGTGGATCCTTATATTAAAGGAAAAAGGGCTTTATGCAACATTTAATTACTGAAAACATGATTAACATTTTCAAACTCCCCTTTAATTACCGTGCAAGACTAAATGAAGCCGTTGAAGTGGTTTGGGCATCCGATTAGTCCTTTATCCATGGTTGCATTGACGTGTGGTTGGGGTGGGGGTACAAAAGGATGTCAGTGCCACCCCATGTGTCCCTTTTAGCTCCGCCTCTGGCACACTGTACTTGTCAACCCTGTTGCACAGATTTACATCTTGTTTGCTTATCAGCCTTATTTATCAGCCACGGAATGACTCTCTATGGCCTGAGGGCCTTAAACGGGAAGTGGGGACACCTGTTCCTCGGAACAATAGCTCCCATAGGGAAGAGGAGTCCCGTGGAAGCAGGAAGTAGGAGAACGATTGCGGGAGGAGCTCAGCACACTCTGCTTAACACTAACATCACCACCGGGGAGTTATACCAAGTCAAACAAACATATAGGGGGAACACCACATGTCCCGTGTCTACCTGTATTCATAAACACACCTGGTTTCACCTTTCACAGACTCACCGTTGCGTTGGAGCAGTTTAGGAGACACAACACCAGCAGCACAAACCACCTCCTCTTGTAAAGTTTGAAAAGCTGTCCATTCTTCAGGTCAGAGTTTGGTTCTCTGGAAACAGCAGCGTAAACAGTCCGAATGTCGTTGGAGACTTCGCCGCTATTATCCATTATTATTATTATTATTATTATTACTAGTATTATGACAAGTTAACTGGTCAAGCCAAACAGCTGCTTAGCTCCCAGAAGTTGAACAAGCACCGAAGTTTCGGTCGCTTTTGGTCAAAAAATCCCAGAAACCTGAGAAATGGTGTATGTCTACTAAAGTAAACAAGATATAAATCCATCCTGCTGTCTCCCGACAGACTGTAAGGACATTTTGTGTCTCACACAGAAGCCGGTAACTCAGTTTGAAGCCTGGAAAAAGTCAGCAATCCTCTGAACATTAATCAGGGAGCTACAAAGATCTTCGACTGAGAGGATGAGCCACTCCGCCCTGAAGAAAAGCGCTTTCAGCATGCAGAACTTAAAAAAAGGTTCTTCAAACTGAATGAGTCTTGCCCTCATAAACGATAAATAAATAATAAATCACTTCTAATAATTTCCGAAACACTGATCTGTGTGTTTTTTTCTCAATACATTTCAAGTCTAGAAAAAATCTAAAAGATTCAATTAAGCAAAACTTTGGACTGCGTCTATAATAATAAAGGATAAACACAGAGAAATTAAACGTTAATGTGTACTGGTGTAATAGACTAAACCAAGGGTGTCAAAGGCCAAGATCGGCCTGCCAAAGCGGCCAACCCAGCTCACCAAGTGGCTTTGCAAAATTTCCAAATTGCAGAGAAGTCATTAATAACTCAATGCAGTGTTACTTTTGCTGTGGGGTGTACAAGCATTCCACATCCACCCACCCTTCTTAAATACTTGTGCAGTTAGGGGTTGCAGGAGGAGCCTGTTCTAGATGACATAGGGCAAAGGGTGGGGTGCACCTTGGGCAGGTAAGCAGTTCATCACAGGGCTAATACAGAGAGACAGATAATTATACACTCTCAAAAACTCAACTAGAGACAGTTAATCTGCATGTATGTTTGGACAGTATAAGGAAACTGTAGAAAACCCGTGCAGCCACAAGGAGAGCATGCAAACTAACTCCGAAAGGCCCCAAGTGGCCAGGTGGTTTAAACCAGGAAGTTGTTTTTGCTGTGATGAAACAGTGCTAAACTGCACCCTGCATCGGTGTTAAAATATATGTAAATGTAAGATATTTCCAGATCTAAGGTTGAATCATAAGGAAGTAATGATGTTGTTCGTTACTGTTGAGGGTTTTGAAGGATTTTCTCCATCCTCTGTAATCCATACATTTTAGCATACATGTGCATGCAATGGTTTTGCTGGTCTCACCCATGGACTTGATCAGCTTGGCAGATGTGACCAGTCTACATGAACCACACTAAGTTTGTAGCCGGGGGGGGGGGACTATTAAGTGGCGACAGTTAAATTTGTGTCAACAAGATTAAAAAATTAGCTTGCACACAACGATTCCACATATTGCACCACAGCATAAACTGGCAAAGGTCACTTCTTCAGGCTTCAAGTGTCGTTCACATTGCACCTGCGGAATGTGTAACACTTGCCATCAAAAAGCAGCGCTGACATGCAGATTATGTTATTTTATTATTTTATTTATGAGTAATCAGAAATATGACTAACGTGACAGAAAAGAATGAATGCAGAACTAAAATGTAATACCCCAATTTGTTATTCAAAGTGACAAAGACTGTCTTTTTTAGCTATTTATTCTAAAAAGAAACTGATGTAAAAATCAAACAACACACAGTGAAAAGACTTCCATTCACTGAAAACATGTTTTTAAATCATAGCACTGAAATTATAATGTATTTAACTCAGTCTTGAGAAACAAGTTATTGTCTTTTGTATGTTGATGAAGCGAATTAGACTAATCAAATTAATCAAAAGTGTTGTAAAATGTATGGTTGTCTTGGAGACTTTGCCATTTACGTGTCTAAATGAAGGTGTAAAGCAGTTTTATATGAAGGTAAATTTGTAATTTCGGGGGTCTTTTTTGCATGCACAAAATAAATGTGCTGTGCTGTAACAAGTTTGTGTGCCCAGGAATGTCTTTGCGTCAGCGAATCAGTCGACGTGACTCACCATTGCACTACTGCAAACTTTTTTTCTTTTAGCAGGAGCAGAGTGAGAACTCTTCACTCTTTTGTCCTTATTGACGGCACATGACCACAGCTCCGCCCTCTCTTTAACCCTCTGTGACTCAGTGCGGCAGTTCTGCAGCTCTGATTCACAGGAAAGTCGCGTGGAAAGAAAGTGAGAAATCAGATCAGTTCTGCTTTCATTTATTTCACCTGGTGTAAATTGCAGACGTGTTATGTTATCCATTAACCTGAAGACATTTGTAAGTTCAGGGACAGTTTTGATCAGCTGTTATCATGACTAAAATGAAACGCAGTTAAAAATGTTGGTGAACCAATAATATGTGTTTTTTATAAATAATAAACAGCCATTTATGATCTTGTACAGATCATCGTTGAAGTCTGCTGTTGTAAATCTCAAGCGATTTGACAAACAGAGTTTGATCCAGATTTCTGGTAGGTGTTTAAGAGAGCACTGCAGGTGGTCTCACTTATGAATTTAAAAACAAAAGGGCTGTAAAGAAGAAGGATTTTCCACAATTTGGCATCCCCAAAACTTATTCTTATTACTGGCTTATTTCCATGGCTGGATTAGCCTCTTTTTAGAGAAATGTGCAGGGTCCCTTTTGGCTTCCAGCTTCATCATTTCTGTGCAAGAAGAAGACGACCCTACATTAATCAACAGACAGAAAAAAAATTAAAACCATAGAATATTTTAAAGAATTGTCTATTAAATAATAATATGATGGAGGTTTATTTGTTTACATAAAGAAATTAAAGCACAATTTTACAACCCCAACAGATTTTCTACTGAGAACTGATTAGACTATTTTATATAGAACCCAAAATAAAGGAAGCTTCAAAAGTAATTTGACCAAGAACAATTAAGAAAAATTGATGGTTTGCTGCCCTGGAACCAGTTTTGGATCCTGGACAACAGAAGATAAGGGCCACTGCCTGATCCACATAGCACCTATCCTTCTGTGGGAAGAGGGCACCCATAAAGATGGGCTCCTGTGCTTCACTTAAGGCCATGTGAAGTCCTGGTGGAGTTTCCCTTAGGAGAGCCTACCAGAGACAAATTGCTTTCGACAACACAGCTCATGGGAGCTGTCAAGTATCACAAACCCCTCTGATGCAATAAGGTGACAATCTACGCCCCAAAAGGAACCATTTTTCAGTTTGCTGATGATGCCTACATGGTGAGCTGATTTGGGCATATCCTAGCAGGAGGAGGCCCCCAAGCAGAACCAGGATACGCTGGAGAGAATATGTCTTTCAGCTGGTTTAGTTAATGTCCTGGTGTCCTTCCAAAAGAGCTGGAGGCAAACAAAATCTTCAAATTCCACTTAATGATTTATTGGTCAAAAACCTCTTATAACTTATAAACTATGAGTCTTAGAAGCACAATGTGCATCAACAATACATAGAAATACATATAAAAAGATTTAAAATATCACATGACTTCTGACCTCTCCTTAAAGGTCAAGAATTCACCTGATGGTCAAAGTGATAATGATGATAATAATGCTACATGGAGCTATTTATCCTTCTCACTGACCTTGTTTGTGCTGACAACAGAGAATGCTATATGAGGATGATAACGATTATGTTATTTTATTAGAATTTGTTATTTACATTACAGTAAGAGGTTATAATTGTTTAAATACATAACATTTTTAATACACTCATAATTTTCCTGAACGAGTGGAAAGTTTTAGAAAAATACCCAAAACTGTGTCCTAAAGACTTTTGTCACTTAATAGTCATTACTAAATAATTAAATGAATGCGATGTATGTGCTACATAATGATTTAAAGTATATTAAAATAGATTTCAGCACATCAGATAACAAAAGCTTGGACTTTGCACTTGTTTTTACTGCACTGCTGACTTCTTAAATAAAAATAACATTAAAAATAAAAAAATAAAAAGTGAACATATACAAAATTCTAAACTATTCCCACTTTTATCTTTTATCACTTTTATTATTTTTTAAGTGGAATGGACCACTGAAACTCTGCGTTCTGTCAATGTAAAGACATTAAACTATACATTTAATCCCCGTGATTTCTTATGATAAGAAAAAAGAAGTGTTTCAACAGCAGGTCTCAGTTTTTCTACATGATAAATGTGTCAGTTACAGAAAACGTTCTGGTAGCTCATTGACCAGACTATCTTGTATTTATAAACCATCAAGTTAGGTAATTCAAAGGAAATGTTCCTGTTTTTTAAACCGAAATTTCTAAAGCAGGTAGTGTAAAACATAATAATAAATGCCATAAAACTTATGAAAATACACTTAGAAGTCCAAAATCCATGCACTCCTTTACATTTTCAAAAGCCTTCCACTGACCTGCCTGTAGTCTTTCACGGACCGATTCTGGCCCCCGGTCCTTATGTTTGACACCTATGAAGTGCAACCTGGTGTTGCTATAAAATTTTATTGATTAATATGAAAGAATTCAAATAAATAAAGTATTTACAGCTTATAAACCCATAATAAAGAAAATGGTGCCAACTCGATAATCAATAACAGAATCAACGGATCGATTTTCAGACATTTGCCGCCCTCGTTCAACTCGCGCCCCTCTTCCCCCCTCCCCCTCCCCCGACTCTACCGCCTCCGGCTCGGTCGCTTGGCCGCTCTGCGCATGCGTTCTGCCGCTTCGAGAGAACAGTTTCGGCCTGTTCCGCGACCGCTCGGTCATTTTCGCCTCTTTGTTTTACTGATAGTGGATTTAACTCGGATTCAACCTAACATCCAACGGACCGTGCTGCTCCCAAACAGGTTAGTTCGTCTACCTGCACTTCTCCTCCTCATATGTCCGTGCTCGGCGGGTGTGTGGCCGGTTTACGGTCCCGGTTTGCACCCCCTCCTCTACATTTTTTGCTTGTCTCTTTCCGCTTGGTGCTACGGGGCACGCTATACGTGTTGTGTTATGTGCCTGTGTGTGCGTGTGTGTGTGGTAGTGGTGTATGACCGGGCCCTGCAGTTGCAGACCGGGGATGGGGGTTATTTTTGAAGAGGTAAAGTGTGCCGTAAAGGTGGCTTTAATGCTATCCGGGATGCACACGGTTAGCCGTCCCGGAGAGGAGGCTCTGGCAGCAGCCTGTCTGCCTGTCTCGTCATGTTTAAATGCTGTTGTTCTTCTAAACCAAACACCAGTTTTTGCTTCCCAGTGAACTGGAATGTTCTTGAAGGAAACGGCTCATGGTCCACCATTAGGCTCACCACCTCCAACACCTCCCTCTCCTTCTCCTCCTGCTGTTGTTGCTGTCCAAAG